ACACACACACACACACACACACACACATGGTGCATCCATTTCCTCCAATGACAAACCAGCTCGTCCTCTCAACATAGTTTTTGCTGCTTAAACAATTCAACAAACTGAATGCTATTTTACTTTTCACTTGGTCTGTATCACTCGATTGCTTGACCTACATTTTCCTGATGGTAAATGACACTCAGGTCCCCTCCTCTGTTTATTGTGCTGCTGTGACACTTGTTCATAAAGTACACTCATTATCATTAATACAGTTGGTCATAGCTCAGAAATGTGGTATAACCTGCTGGAAACTGTAGGAGTGGCAACGTTTAATCTTCTTTTTAGGGTGGACAAAATATTTTTATGTATCTCTTTTACACGTCTTCTTCAGTGTGTTTCATAATTGGTGAAATTCTTAAAATTCAAGTCTCCATCTTCTACCCTGCCCACTGTCATTGATATTTTATTACGGTCTCCCAGTTTAACACAACTAACCCTGCTATTCCCCTGAAGGTTCAGTGTGTAGGATTTAGTGATGAAGTTGCATGTTGCAGCTGAACACCTCTCACCTCACCTCACCCTCCCCTTCCAAACATGATAGAGAACCTTCACTTGTCATAAAAACTCAAGATGTTTAGTTTGTCCACTCTGGGCTACTGTAAAAAACATGGCAGCCTCCATAGAGAGGACCCACTCCCGATGTAAATATAAAGGATTTAAATATAAAAGGCCCATTCTAGGGTAAAGAAAACTACAATTCACACAATTAAGATGAAACACAAACTGATCATTTTAAAGATATATAGATAGATACATAGAGATATATACAGATAGATAGATACATAGTTAGAAAGATAGATATATAGATGCAAGTGTATTTAAAAACCTTGAAAACAGTGCAAAAATTATACTTAAAATCGAAAACTAGAAATACATGTAAAAATCTAAAATCAAATAAAGGTAGGCATAGGTAGTAATGGTGACAGTCTGGCAGCGCAGTGACATCATTTATATTTAATTTCTGCCGATAGATCCCTTTCATATAGATCTTACACACTTTTAACCAAACCCAGCAGAAACCATAAGATCAGTGAGAGGCTGTTTTGTGATGAAGAGTAGACTGTTTGTTATTTTCTCCTCTTCTTCCTCACCATGGCAGACAGTCAAATTAAAACCAACTAACCGGAAGTGCGTTTCACTCAGTGTGTTTTAGCGACGTCGTTATTTTTTTATCTCGAAACTGTGGCGTGAATATAACTTATAAACATTGAGATCGTCACAGTTTTGCCGCCGTCGTACTCAAATTTAATTTATGTTAAACGGACACGCGGGGAAATGATCACTACACCATCAAATCATACGTTTTAACTCCGTTAATAATCCTACTGGCTTTTATTGTGAAGGCGCTCAGGCGGAACATGTGGTTTAAACCGTTGCTGGCTTCACACCCGTGTCTGGGTATAAAATCGATAAGTGATTGGTTTTGTTGATGGTAAATATTTAGTGGGTCTGGTAACGTGCGGCTGAAGGTAAGAACTCAAACATGTCGCCGGGTCACACCGACATTTCTCCCCGGGGGTCGTCGCTGTGTTTAGCGGCAGCTCTGTGCGACGTTCGCGGCTGCTGCGGTGATGTCTTTGTGTCTAACTGATGCTGGAGGCTAACGGTGCAAGGAGCTAACGTTAGCCGCGCCGCGCTTGCCTACCTGGCCGTTCTGAGTGACTGACAGGCGGTCAGGTGGGTGGTCAGCTGCCGGTCTGTGTGTTAGCTTCGCTGCCGCTGCTGTGTGCGGTCAGTCACACCCACAGACATGTCAGTACTGCTGATAGAAATCCATCAGTCCAGGTGTTGACAGTCAGCTGGAGGGATTCGAACACTGTACACTGAAAAACCCACATTACACCAGCTGCTGGGTGAAGCTGTGAGTTGAGCAGTTTTTCAAAATCGACATTTAATCGTCTTAAACTTAAATATTTAATTAGGATTTCAAATTCACAACAATAATGATTTACAATAATTTCTTTATCTGTGATAAAAC